CAGGGCATGCTGCCCAGGGCATGCTGGTGAGGGTACATTCTGGGGATGCTAGAGAGACTCTTCCTCAGCCAGCAGGTCCCAACACTCTGCCTGTTCATCTGTACGCAGATGCGTGATAAAGCAAGGGTCCACTACACATGGACCTCCAGAATAACCACCTGGATACACTCAAGTGTCCAGCAGCAGAGCAGAGCAGTCCCATTCACAACATGACCTAGAGCCTCAAGGTCTCCATGTCCCTCCACACTTTCACATCTTGAAGAAAGAGTATTCTATAGTTTGGCTATGTCTAGAGGACACCCTGAAAAGTTTCAAGGATTGACATCAGCCCTACAGTAAGCTACAAAGAGGACAAAACTGAATCTAGTGTGGTGTGCCGGCCAAGGGGCTGCTGGAGGGTTAGGTTACATAATGTCAGCTGGTGAGTCTACAGTCCAATTCCAGGGCCATTAAACAAGGAGGCACACACAGTCACCTATCCCCGCCCCCGCCTCTCTCTCTCCCCCACACCCGCCTCTTTCTCTCCCCCTGTCTTATCATATTATATACTGCATAGCCTAGCGACTCTACTGGCAAGATCTCACTAGATAGGGCTCCATGACCTTAGATCTCCAGAATGGTTGTGGTGCTGTAGAACCCGGGGCCTTGTCCATGCCATGCAAGGAATTGACCATTCAGCTGTGCCTGCAGTCTCCACAGTGCTGTATGTTAGAAACCTCAAAATGGCCTAATACAGGACGCATGCTTGTACATGAATTAAAACATACACCCTGCTGTCCAGCTGCAGACATCTCTCTCTGTTCTGCTGCCTCTTTCTTTGCGGTGGTAAGGGTGGCCAAGAAGGCTGTGGTTATGGAAAGCTAGGGCAATGCTTCAGTGCTGTAAAAACCCAGTAGCATATAAACGCTCCACCGGCTGCGCTGCAGAGCACCTGTGGACCAGGAAGGAGGATGGGGTGGACTGTGCAGAGGTGGAGCACTGGCACACAAGGGCAGGCATCGCATAGACACCGCTGGCTATGGTGGGTCACCTGAAGATGCCCACAGCAGTAACGTCAACTGTCCCACACTCCCGCAACCTCAGCACAGGTGATCTTGAGCTACGGCAATGCTACCACCCTCCCAGCAGGGCTGGCTGCACTGAGGCACAGGCTAACCCTGCCAGCCAGCATGCCCCCAGGGCACTCCATGTGCAGCATATGGAGATACAAGGTGGGCAATGCAGAGATTCCTGCATGATCAGCCTCAGCAGGGAATGTTTTGAGGAGACATCCAGATGGGAACAGAGTGGATGGAGTGAGGGTTGTGCAGCACCCATCAGAGGAATTTGCTGCTCAGCGTTCTAGTCTGAAACCCAACCTTCTTATGAGACTGTAATATAATAGGGAAAAAGTCTAAAACTTTTTCTTTTAAATGGCAACATCCCTCAAGTAAACTGCAAAGGTGAAAAAACACATATCTCAGAACTCAATCTAGTGGCTGCAGCCGATGGCTTCTGGGACTGTGTATGAGACTTTTTTTGAGGGTGGTATAATTCTCAAGTTTGTCATTTGTCTTGGAATAAAAATATAAATATGAATCACCCATTCGCATTCAATTTAACCCTTGCTAAGCTACAAGGGAGAGCAACAATATGGTGTTTGGAACAGCAAATGTTGATTTCAACTGAAATAGACTGCTCTCTGTGACTCAGACCTAAGTCAACACCTTAAACATATGCACGATGACCAATGCCACACTTAAGATTTGTTAAATCAAACATGCTTTTTCCAAAATCTTCTCGGAAACCGTCATTTCTGCTTTTAAACTTCATGATCAAACCAGACTTCACATGTTCTCAATGCTGCATGATGGCGTCACAGCAAACCAGTATCCACACTCTCACTTCACAGCTCCTCCCAGAGAGGTGCACTCTGAACCCTGCCCCTGCCCAGTGACAGCACTTGTCTTCTTTAACTTAAAGACAAACAAACAAAGAAACAATCGAGGGCTGCAGAGAAGGCTCAGGGGTAAAGAACACTATTGCTCCTACAGAGGACCTGGGGTTTGTTCCCAGGACCCACACAGCAACATAAAAACTACCTCTAACTTCGGTTCCAAGGGATCTGACATCATCTCCTAGAATCTGCCAGGCCCCTTCCTTCACTCCCATGGTGTATATACATACATGCAAGAACTACACATTTACATAAAAACAAATTAAAACACCACACCTAGTGTTATAGCATCTGACCAACTCTTTATCACCACTTGTCACCGGAGGGGAGGTAAAGCGGACCCTCTTTGCCCACCTTCAGGGGCTGGGGAGGCAGAAGTGCCAGGGCAGGGCGGGGAGGCCTGAGAACAGCCAGCAGCAGAGGCTGTGGGGTCCCATCTGGGAGAGCACTGGTCCTTTCTGCCTGGCAGAAGGACGCCCACTGTTGCATGTCAGTCTCATGGGCAGTTCTAATAGTGAGTGAGAAACTTCTGCTCATGAAGCAGAAGAAACCACTTCCCCCAGGCCCAGTTCTTCCCTGGGCTGGCTTTGTTTCTTGTCTGGTCATCTTGTCAATAGCAGCTGTCACCTCTGCTATGCCCCATGATTCTGGCCAGCATCCTCTTAGGGCATTGCTACCTGCCTCTTCATTTAGGTTAGCTATATATATATATTTTAACTATATATTTTACTCCCTGTTACATAGCAAACTGACTTCCTTTGGTGTGAGTTCTATGGCTTTAACACACCGAGATATCTGTGGAGCCACAGACAAGACACCGCCTTGCCAGTCCCTTGGTTCACTCACCACAGTCCTGACCTGACCTATTGGCTCTCCTACCCTACAGGTCTGACTTTTACAGAGTGTCACTCTTGGGAGACTGGCTTTGGCAACTACCTGTGTTGTGTGTGTTACTCCTTCCTTCCTTCTTTCTTTTTTAATTCATTTAAGAAGGTGTGCATATGTGTGATGTTTTGTTTTAGATGGTGTCTCATCTTCTCTTTTCTTGCTGATAGCATTTTGCGGTCCTCATGTAATTCCATCTGAATTATTCTGCAGGTTTCATTTTCCTTTTTTAAAATTTCTATTTTATATGTACATGTGTGTGCCTGCTTTGTTGACATGTGCACACATTCGAGCAGGTGCCGGCAGAGGTCAAAATAATGCATCTGACCCCCTGGAACTGGAGTCAGAGGGAGCTGTGAGCTGCTTACGGATGCTGGGAAATAAACCTGGGTTCTCTACAAGAGCAGCAAGTGCTCTCAACCACTGGGCTACCACCCACTCCACCCTGGGGTTTCATTTTTCAAGAGTGAAGCTCCAAAAATAAAGAGGCTGGGTCAGAGGGTCACACCATTATCCCTTTTTGCCAGCCCAGGAAGAGCTCCAGTGTTACTCTGTCTTTGAGGTTCGGGAAAGGACCTAAGCCACAGGTGGGGATGTGCCAGGAATCATCATTGCTCAGCCCTCGTCTGTGGCTCTGATCCCTGGCCTCAGCAGCATCACTGTGGTCCTTGATGACATGTGTATAACATTTGTGCGGTAAGAACACAACAGACAGAAAGGGGACATACGCTCCTAGGTTACACTCTGACACACTCAACTATTAAGGAAGACAGCACAGGCTGCCATACCATAACTGAGAAGGGTACCGGTAACATCAAGAGGCCTCTACCTCTTTCTACTATGTCTACCAGGCCAACTAACCTTCTATGTGTCTGACTGGGGCAGCTTGTTTAGCTCCTGAATGAAGAGCATCACCTACCCAGATCCACTGTCTACCAACAGCCCCACCCTGCTGTGGCTCATGCTTTGGTTTCCAAATGCTCTGTTAAGACCAAACCCTGCTTGGCAGAGAGATTACTGAGCCTCCCATGTGCCCTGCTGGCCCACTGATGAGGCACTACTTTTCATGTTATCCACTGTTTGTGAATGAGTATACCCTGGAGTTTAGATGGCAATTTTCAAAACCCAAGACGAAACACTAGCCTCAAACTGCATGTAGTGTGCTATAGATGCATTTTACATGCCATATCTCTGTGTGTGTGTATGTATGTATGTATTGTAATTTTTATATACAGAGAAGTCAGAATCCCATAGTGCTGTTGTTCCTATTCCTATTTCAAGTTCTACTTTGTTATTCAGCTGAAACTGGAGTCACTTTTCTTCTTTTATTGGGTGATGCTGGGGCATCAGATCCAGGGCCTTGTGTATACTAACAGGGTCTCAATCCATACCCTCAACCCCGGAGGCTTATGCTCCTTTACGCATCTATATTCAGAGTCGATGACATATGGGAAACACACCCTACTGTGTATTTTCTCTTACTAAGGGCTTGGAAGACGGGTGCCCCGAGTGTGCGTGCAACACCCCACTCCCCTGCATGTCTCACTAGGCACGGCACCTCTGCTCTTGGCACAGGGTCTCGGGCTGTTTCCCTCACACACAAGGAGAGCACTTTTCCAGAGATCCATGGGGGAGATTTGCTTTTCTCAGATACTTTGGTAAATTCAGGCCTTGGGTGTTTTCACATACACCACTGTGTGTGATACTTGGAAAACGTTCATCTAGTAATTTTGGAAGATGTAGGGTTCCAAAAATTTCCACAATTTTTCCATACTTCTGACACAAATCAGGATGAGTCCAGAGGAATCAAATACAGGCCAAGTTTAGAGTCGTGAGATGCTATTTCAGAAGCAGAGAAATCAGAACAGGAGAGGGACATACTTCTCAGTGACCTTAGCAGACTTTGAGCAAGGCAAGAAGAAACACAGGTTCTCCTAACACTGTGCATGCCCTGGCTATTTCTTATCCCTTCTCTTTTAAGATGGCCTCACGCTAGCACCTGTAACACCAAGCAGTTGTGTAACCATCACAAGCAGAGCTTCAACCAGAGAACAAAAGGACAGATGCACATGAAAGAAAGGGGGGAACCCCACACTGACGCGAGGGACTTCTGAGGACATGAGTAGGAGGAAGAGAACACTTAGACCCAGGAAGCCACCAGGGCTCAAGTCTTACTTACTTTTCTATCAAATCCAGTGTGACTCCAGGCACCAGACTAACACACTTCTGCATGCAAAACCTGCAAAGAAAGGAGAGGACATGAGAGGCTTGAATGGAACCCAGAACATGAAAACCATCCAGCAATAAAAACACAAGTTTAGACAACACACGGCTTCCTCAGCATGTCATCTTGTAGGTTCAAGAGGCAAGCCTCAGCTGGCAGCGGTGGCGCACACCTTTAATCCCAGCACTCGGGAGGCAGAGGCAGGGGGATCTCTGTGAAGTCAAAGACAGCCTGGTCTACAGAGTGAGTTCCAGGACTGCCTGTCTCAAAAAGAACAAGAGCAGCAGCAAACCTCACTGCCAGCCTGCTAAGGCTGGAAGACCATGGAGCAGCACCTGTAGCCAGCAGCGGGAGGAAAGGGCTGCATGCAGTCAGTGTAAGCTTGTCCCTGGAGAGTAGCAAGGAGCTGAGACTCACAGCAAGGCTCCAGCTAAGAACTGCTGGTGTGGACTGGACTCCCCCACCCAGCCTTTCTTCCTTCTTAAAAAGGTGAGGGGGAGAGGAGCTGGGGAATGGATGCATGTCTTCAAGGAACCCACGTGTACTCAGAGAAGAAAAGGGACACAGATTCAATTGCACTGCTTTAAATCATAAAAAGGTCAAAGGAACCAGAGCCGAGAGACTTCTCATCCATTGACAAATCCATCCTCAAAAGCAAGAGTGGACGTGGAAGGCCTTTATTTAGTGTTTGTGTTGACAGAGGCAAGAAGCCATGCCATCCCCCACCCCCACCCCCGTTAAGAGCCATTGGCACAAATGTCAGCACTGAGGGAGAAGACAGCTCACGGCATAGGGGGGAGTAATGTAAAATGCTTGCACTGTCTACATTTAAAACCAAGAGCAGGGTCCAGTGCTCTCTGCAGACGCACTCTCATCTCTGACACGCTGACAATGGCCCACATGGCTGTACTACCGGCAACAGTGAGGAGCAACTCTGAACAACCTCATTGCTGGCAGAAACTAATGATGCGCTCTACTGCTCTCTCAGCAGGAGCTAAGCTAGGAAGGACATCTGTGGCTTGTATGTATGTATTTTCCAGTTATGATGCCTGCACCTTACTATTGAGGAAAATTAACCCACACAGGATAGGGATGTCATATGATTTTATTAGGGAGAAGTCACTTACATGAGAAACGGAAAACCAAGGTCAGCGCTTGCTGCTCTCTGAGACCCGATTGGAAGCCCAAGAGAGAGCCAGCCCCCTTCCTCTTTATCCCCTGCATTTTCTATGTACCTGTGACCACGCCCAAATGGGCATGATCAGTGCTACAGGTGCATAAAATCTCTCCCTACAATTCCCCTTTTAGTCTAAAGAAAAGATTTAGACTTGAAACAAAACTAAATTGTGTCGATATACAAAATGTCTAAAAAATAAATAAAGAATATATACATAGAAGATGATAAGGATATTTATGTATCAAACATCATATATAGAAATAAGACTTTACACGGCTCGGTAAAGGAAGACCACATGGAAATACTCAGATTAGCAGTTATGGGTTAACAATTAAGTCAGAACAACAAGAAACCACAGCAAACAGCCAACAGCTTCATCCTATAGCATCCTGCGTGTTCATTTGGGACTGACACGGCTCTGGGACCAGGCTGGCGGGAAGAGTATGTCCACACATCACCAATAGATACTGTGTTCGGTGCAAGCATCAGGCCACACCCAGGAGAGAAGGACGGAACCCTTTATGGGTAGTGGGCTTGGAGAACAGAGGCAGCAGTGGGATAAGAGGGCAAGAGAACGGAGGAGTAAAAGACACAGACGCAGAAAGGCAGAGACAGATGGCACGTGCCAAGTAGACGCCTCTTGCGCAGAACACGGAGCACAGCTGCCCAGCTATCTTCTCTGCCTTAAGAAACGGGGCTCAGCTCAAGCAGGGGGACAAAGCTGGTTTGGGTGAGCTGCCAGCCACTGTTCTATGTTCAAAGGGCAAAACAGAGCTGGGTGCTGAATCTGGCCAAGCTGGTAGCTAGGCTCTGAGTAGCTAGAACCTTCTGCTAATCTCCTGAGTGCTCCACTCAGCCCCCTCCAGGCACCTTACACCTTCGGGAGTCAGCACAGATGCAAACAGCTCCAACGGCTTTAATATCTCCTGCTGCATAAGCAGGACCTTTTTGGGGTCTGGGTCATATGTGAGCCACACTCCTCAATGTTTTGTCTTCTCATCCATAATGGATTTATTGACTGGGGTTTCTGGAATCTAGTAATGACAGGATCATTTGTATCAGACTAATTCTTTTGTTGAAAGCAATAATAAATCCCAGACAAAATATTAAAAACAACCAACCACTTGGTAATTCTAAAGAACAAACAGAAGAGAAACCGGAAGTGTTATAACCTTGGCAAAGGATGAGCCACCTGTCGGGTTGCACATTCACACCACATATGGGGACAGCGGGAGCAGTCTCCCTGGGGTGAGGATCAGAGATCAGCACTGAAGGCTGCCAGGAAATTGGAGAAATAACCTTAGACTGGAGGGAGCCAAACCTTCATCTGGCACTGGCTGACTCATGAGCTACAGACAGGATGTGACTACAAGGATCCCTGTGGCAACAGGAGGCTCAAAGTATTAATTGGGAAGTACAGCACCTCTTGCCCCAAGAAGGCAGAGGAAGTCTCCCCAACCCCCTTCACCAATTAAGAGGCCCTGAGAAGCCCCAGGGCTTTCAATGGACTCCCAGAGGGATCCTGCCTTAGTTACAAACAGTATTCCAGGATCAAGAGTGACAGTCTGGAGCTAGGAACAAAGTCAAAAAGGTCAGACCCATTGCCAAGCTATTGGGGAGCTGGGTCCAATCCTACTGCCCACCCCACCCGACTGGGCTGACACTGCTCTGAACAGAGTAGAGCAGTGCTTCCTACTTCCAGAATGGGTGGCGTAAGGTCAAAGCCAGAGAAAACATCACAACAGACAGACTTTGGAATTGATAGAATTTTAAGGTTAGAAAAGCCTAATTGATGATTGACTGGGAGAGTAGCGTTCTTATAGCAGTGAAAAGGTACAGCTCTCTTAAGTATGGAATTCAAGCAAGGGCATGTAAACTACTGAGGCCATGCTCACTTGGAGCACAGCATGCTTAAGTGAGCACTGAACCCACAAAGTTCCCTCATTTAAACTACTGAGGCCATGCTCACTTGGAGCGCAGCATGCTTAAGTGAGCACTGAACCCACAAGTTCCCTCGCCAGCACCGTCAGTTCTCCGCACTGCAGCCTGTCTCACCTTTCACGCTGTTCTCTTCTACATGGGGGTTTCCTGGACAGGGAAGGCCAGGACAAACTCAAGAGACAAAATGACTCCGTGCTGGGCATGGCGGCTGTGCACACCTTTAACCTCAGCACCCAGGAGTCAGAGGCAGGCACATCTCTGTGAGTTTCAGGCCAGTGCAGTCTACACACCAAACTTAGGACAGACAGGACTACATAGAAAGACTTTCTAAAAACAAACAAAACAACAACAACAAAAAACCTCAAATAATCCATAAAACTGCCCAGGTGTGGTGACTCATGCTTGTAAACCAGACTGGGGAGGCTGAGACAGGAAGATCATTTCAAGTTCAAGGCTGGCCCAGGCTGCAGGGAAAAGTCCATCTAAAGCACTGAATGAAATAAAATTAGTCAAACAGCCAAGAGTTGCTCCATGTTCTGTGTTTGGAGGTTGTTGGCCTGTGTCTAGTGTTTACTTCTCACCATGAAGTAAGAGGCAGCATTTACTCTCAGGGACACCAGAGTGAGGCTTGAGCGTCCTGAGAACAGCTGGCCAAAGCGATGTTCACTTTTTGGGAGGCTGAGACAAGAATACTGTTGAGCCCAGGAGCTCAACCCCAGCCTGGGCAGTTTGGCGAGGCCAATTCCAACAACAAGAAAGTCAGAGCAGAAGACAACACAGAGCAGCCCTGAAAACAAATAGGGTTTGTTTGTTTTTTTCCAGAAACTGACCATTCTCAGAGAAACAAACAGAGTAAGCAGCAGGCAGGGAAAACAGAAGGAAGGGGGTACGATTTTATACCCAGCATGACTACCATTTAAACGTGCAGGCAGAGGTGTTCTTAGGCGCACAGCCTCAGAGGCTGCTCATCAAGGGGATATGAGAGACAGCTGGGTGACACTGGCATTGGAGGACAAGGGTGAAACCTGAGGCCTTGAAAGAGACACAACACAGGAAGAGCTTTGACATGGAACCTCTCAAAAGAATAACAAACACAAACAAAAGGAAAATGATGTCGAGTAAGTCAGGTACCAGCGGCCCAGAGGTCTCCTCTGCAGCAGCTCCACCGTGAGCCGCTGCTTTGAACAGAGTGGCTACACAAACCTGGCTAAGCATCCACACAGGGCCTTGCACAGGGGCACGGACACAACAGCAGCTAGAAACTGGGCTGATTATCCTGCCTTCCAGGAACCAGCCAGAGGAGACAACGCTTCCCCAGCAGGCCAGCTGCAGCCTGCCACCAGCCATCAGGTTCCGGCCCGCTTTAATCCTCACACCACAAGTGACCCGAGGCTAACCAAGCCCTTTCTATTTTCTGCCACACAAGGAGCTCTGATTCATGTTTGGTCTGTGTCTCTGCGCTCTGAAGCTCTCCTCTGTAACCCTCACAGAGACACTGCTACAGAGCTGTGCAGATGGAAAGGCAGGGAAACTGGGGACAGGAGCAGGGAAGGAGCCCCCACTTTAAGTCCAGCTGGAGCCACCAACAGAGCCGCAAATGCTGCAGCATGATCGCCAGCTGCTGAGGTCGGTGACCTCGCCAGCTGCAATCCAGACATTTGTTAGGAACATCACTAGAAACCCCCTTACGAGGAAAGGACATCGCTAAGCACCTTGCGCAGACCTTGTGGCTCCTAATGTCACCTTGTCAGATTATAATTCTACCCAAGGCATTACCAGAGCCACCTCACATATCAAATAAAAGAGAAAAGAAACAGAAGGCTCCTTAGCAACCTCAGAGATATATGCGGCATGTGTGCCTAATGCTGGGTCTGGTGTCTGAGTCTCAAGAGCCTGC